CCGCGGCCTCGGCGGAGGACGACCCGGACGATGCATTCCGTGGTGGCTTGCGCTCGGACTCGGAGGCCGGGATGAGCGTGGGGAGGTTCGAATGCTTGCGTTTCGATGGAGCGTGCGCGCTGGGGGTGTCTTGAATTTGGGAGGAGGGCCCTGCCGCGGAGGGCTGGTTCTCCTTGTCAGAGGGGCGGCGAGCGGGCGAGGCGGTGGTAGAGGCAGAGGCAGAGGTGTCGGTGGTGTGCTGCACCGTGGCGGGGACGGGGACTGGGTCGAATGTCGTTGCAGCTTTGGTGGATCGATGCGACGCGGGAGATGAGCGGGGCAGGGCGGACGGGAAGCCCGGCCAAGCAGCTGAGGGGATGGATACGGCCGCGGAAGGTAGAGCAAGGGCGGGAGCGGACGACGTTGAAACAGAAGCCCCGGAGGAGACGATAGGCGGTGGGTATACGAAAGTGAAGTCTCCTGGGATTCCGAGCTCGCCTGAGCTTCCGGCGACTGGGGGCTGGTCTGTAGACTGGTCCTAGGGGTGTGTTGAGCGGCGAATGAAGGAGGCTGGATGGGGCGTACACACCTGGGAGGTTTCGCCTCGTCCATGTTCGCCGAATGAACGTGGAATAGTCCACCCGGGCTGAGCTTCGCCCAGCGCGACGTCTACCATCGGGTTGCATATGCCGCGCTGTTCCTCCGCACTCCCAGAGAACGCGGCGGGAAGCGCGTCCTCGTCGAAGAATTCGGCGTATTGCTCACTCAACCGCGCTTCTTCAAAGGCGTCCGTGGCAGACAGCATAGTGTAATCGAGATAATCCTGACAGGACCCCCACATTGTCGGTTCGGCGGACAGTACGTAGAATGATGAGAACTGAGTACTTACCCATTGCCCGGGTATTTCATCGATGTGCAAGCGCCATGAAGTGCCTTCACAACCTGAGGATGGCCCCCATCCAGCGGTAGCAACTCCTCCCAAACCAGCGGTGAACGAGACCTCGGGGTCGAGGATATCCTTGGAGGAAGATGAGCCGGGAGTCTGGTCGTAGTAGTAGGACATGTTATCGGAGTATCGGGTGTCTGATTGGGAGAGGAAGGTATGTGGTTGGACGCGTGCAGTGAGGGAGTGAGAGAGTGGTTGAGGAAGGAGGGCCAGACGCGCTCCCGACCACATACGGAGGACTTAGCCACGACCTCGCTTAAGTGTTGGGGCTGCGTGTTGAACATCGACGCACTCGACCGGACCGGATCGGTTCGTCCAAAGCGAACCTCTTTGTCTCCTTTGTCTCTTCGTCAGACAATGAGCGGAAGTAGGGAAGAGCACCACTTACGGAGATCATCCGACCGCGCGTACCCATGTCGTCGGCGTAGAGTTTGTAGAGTTTGACGAGATACGACTTCCAGTACAGTAAGCCAGTCGTGGCCTGCCAGAACATATGTGACCAGGACGGACCGGCCCAGGAGTGCTGCGTAGGGAACTGAAGAAGACCGAGGACGCAGAAGAGACTGGGAACGATGATATCGTCGCCTGCGGGGTCCATCCGACAAGATAGACGTCGTGCGACTTATAAAGGTTGCGCGAGCGTGAGGCGGCCGGAATCGACCATGGTACGGCATTGCAAGCTACAGGAATCGCACATATCTGCTGTACAGATGCCATTCAGTCCTGACGAAAACAGCTTTCCCGCGCAAGATGTTTCAAGGCCGCCAACCGCCAAAGATGCAGGCATGCTTGCACATCGTCGTCTGAATGTCATGGCAGACATGCGAAAGACGCGACGGCACGTTTGATACATACACAACATATCCTTGCGACGGGTCACCGAACAAACGTGCACGACATGGACATGGTAGTCGGCGGATAGCGTCGCCCAAAGTACCTTTGTGTGACGCTACCCGTTACTACGTCCAAATTGTATTACGGTACAGATCAAGAAGACCATTCGTCGCCACCAGCAACACCAGTTGTGTGGCGTTTGGACTCCAATAGCATCAAGGTGCTCGATATAACATATCTTTGCAGCCCGAGCGCAAAAGACGGTCGCAAGGGGCGACCGAAACCGTCTTTCATCCGCGCCCCATGCATCCCAGTTTTTTTAGATAACACTTACCGGAGTAGGGTTGCACCGTGACCACAAGCTGTGAGCATTTTTGTGCTGCTTTGCGTGGTCCACAGTCCAGCCTGTGTCATGCCGAGAGCCCCTGGCATTAAGGTGATCCTTGAACGCGGGATTAAGCACTACCAGTGGTAGTCGTGTTCACCCAACACCTATAAATTCATGTAATCGAGTCAGCATAGTGGTCGACTGGTGCGACGTCAGCTCCTTACTTATGACGGTACTCTTCAAGTCCGAGCGATAGACAACTTGAACACATCACGCGGACAGAGAGCATGATTGAATGAGTTCTCAATGAGCGATTCTTCCAGCGGGAACTGTTTCTATAGCAGTACGTAGTGCGACAGACAGAGCGATTCCAACCTTCCTGCCAGCGCTCTCACTGGCATCAGTAGATTCCTAGTAACTGTACAGCACCAGCGCCGCGAGGGAAGCAAGCGCCTAGCTTGAACCTTCTATCTTCCTGACCGCCATCATCATGATATCAGTGTCACTATGTCTCTCGTCCTACGCTCATCCTACGCTCATCCGTCTCGTCTGATTTTCTCCTTCAGTCATCTTCACTGCTGAGCGACTCGGAAACCAGCACGCCAAAACTGTCTTGTGTTATCACCTGCATGGCTACCGTCTCAGCTGTGTGGCGGAGTGACGAAGTTTCGAATACACCCCTGCGTTCTAGAGTCTAGATTGTCCTGAGCTGCTCTGAGTGGACCCTGGCCGCTGCTGAAACTCTTCGGTATCGCAGCTACCTGCAGTCGCTGCACGCGATCAACTTCGTCTAGTGACCGCCCGCGATTGTGTGCGCGCGACTCGTCGTTGGAGGCCGTTGTCGTGTACGCAAGAATCAAGAGACGCGAGTGCGGTCGCTCGTGGCATGGGTGATTTGGTGAGTACTTGAGCTTGAGTACTGGCTATCCAATTGTAGCGCGCACATCCTGTCAATCTACGCTCTTCCGTGTCCTTCTCGATGGGGTGTGGGCGTCTTCCGCGCTGGTTGACACACAATTCGTACCCAGAGCACGCAACTCGATTCGTCATTGACCAGATCGGCGCAGTGGGCGAGTCATGAAGTGTTGCTACACGATCACAACTACTTATGATATTGACAATGGTCCGACATTCGATAGACGTCCCCTCAGACACGCGCACAGTAACCAAGACACGCAGACACCATAACACCCAGCCAATTCAATTATTTCTTCTGCAGATCCCCGGATTTGATTCCCATCAGTTGTTGCCCCTGCGGTTCATGGTCAGTACGGCGAGAGCGAGATGTCATCGAGATTGCACGTACCCCCCGAACTTCTTAAGACCCTCGCGGAGCCCCGCGCCGATCTTGTTGGCAGTGCTCTCGTCCTAAACGCAAAACGATGATTAGTTTCTGGGACGAATGAGCGTATAACGGCGGAGCAAGACGTACGAGGTTGTAGCCCGCCTTCTGCGCGGCGTACTCGACGCTCTTGTCGACCCAGTCGTTGCCGCCAGCGCCCGTGGTGCCGCTCTGGGACTTTGAGTTTGAGTTGTTTGAGTTGTTCGAGTTCGAGTTGCCGGACGAGTAGGAGTTCGAGTTGTCGCTCGATCCGTAGCTGTCGGTGTTGCCGGAGCTCGAGTTGGTGTTCGAGCTACCGTAGCTGTCGCTGTTGTTGTTTCCGCTCGAGCCGTAGCTGTCGCTGTCGCTCTTGCGGGTGGTGTTCGAGGACCCGTAGCTGTCGGAATCGTTCTTGCGAGCGGTGTTTGAGGATCCGTACGAGTCGGAGTCGCTCTTGCGGGCGGTGTTCGAGGACCCGTACGACGAGTCGTCGTTGCTCGAGCCGTACGAGTTGCTGCCGCTGTTGTTGCTCGAGCCATACGAGTCCGAGTTGTCGTTACTCGAACCGTATGAGTTCGAGTTCGAGTTGTCGCGGCGCGACGAGGAGTTGTCGTCCCGGTCCCCGCGGCCGCTGCCGTACGAGTTCGAGTTCGAGGAGTCGTCGTTACGGCCGCCGGAGCTGCCGTACGAGTCCGAGCTGCTGTTGTTTCCGTAGCCGCCCGAAGAAGAGTTGTCCTTCGAACCGTACGAGTTGGAGGCGTTTTGGCCGGAGCCGTAGCTGTCGCCCCCGGAGTTGTTGTCACGACGGTCCGAGTTGTTAGACCCGTAGCTGTTGTCGTTGTCGTTGGAGCCGTAGCTGTTGTTGTTGTCGTTTCCGTAGCCGGACATGATGTGCAGAGGGCGGTGAATGGGAAGGTGTAGGGGTGATGAGGAGTGGTGCAAGGGAGCTGCAGCCCCACGTTCGATCTCGCGGTACTTATGCTATGGAGATGAATGGAAGGTACAGCATCAGGGAGGCCAAAGAGTTCCGGACAGCGAGCAAGAATAGTCTGCCAGCCCTAGAAGGACAGGAAGAAGCCTGTAGCGGGCGGAACGCAGGCACGGACGCACTAGAGCGCGCCACCAAGACCCACCGAGGCAGGACCGTAGCACGGAGTGTGTCGTCACTGTCCGGGCGAGAGTCGGAATTCGCTCGTCCCGAGCGGCCTTGCCCAATAGAGGCGATCGCGCACCGTGGTTTACGCCACGGTGCGATGTGTATAATGAAGTCAGGCGGTGCAATTGAACATGTGCGACAGCTCGCTCGCAGGGACGTCCCGGCGATGGCGATGCGATGGCTTCGCGATCATAGGCACAGAGGCGGAGAACGCGTCATGCCTTGTGCGACGTGAGAGTGCGAGGCTCCTATTCCAGCAGACTCTTTGCAAATTGCTGCTGTATGCAAGTTCCTAAAGGAAGTATCAGGTCTGAGACTGCGGGGGTACGTACGACTTACCCACATGCTGGGGATGACGGCGGGGAGCAAACACCGCGACTGCTCTTAGCGCCAAGTTGTGCGATCGGTGTTCTCGTTCGAGGCAGGTCGAAAAAGACTCTCTGTCGGGGAATCGAACCCCGCTTTCGCGCGGTCTGCTTGAATGACAAGCGCGTGTACTAACCGATATACGAACAGAGACTTGCTGAGTTTCCCAAACGCTCATATATAGATCGTCCCCAGTGCCTGCATATCTCGCAGCTTCGAACTTGAGAGATGTGTCACGTCTTATGACTGTTGTTTGCGTCGTCGTGGAACGCTGCACCTAATCTGTTGACCTGTAAGCCTGTGACTACCCCTCATAGTCAATCACCTCTCTGGAGGGACAAAAATAAAGAAGTACGTGGCACGAAGCCCCCTCTCTCAATACTTGTGCGAGCCCCACTGCTGGCAGGACCGGTACCGGCGCATGCAGTGCTCACACTTCGAACCACGACAACTGCCAAAACGGGACGGCGCCGACGCCGATCACAACGCCGCCAAAGACGCCAGGGCCGCTTCAAGTTGGTATTGCAAAGTTGCACACCCGTCCACGACCATCCTCTCGCCCATATGTCTCTATCGTTCTTTTCTTCGTCTTCAGAACCCTCAGCTGAGGTACGCTCAGGGAAGCCTGCGCGGATGTCAACAGCGCTGGCAGCGTTGGCAGGGCTTTTCACACTTGCACTGAATCCCCTCGAGCCATTGTCAATTCTGGATAGCGTCTTCGCTTCGTTCATCAAGGTGAGTCTTAATTCACAGGATCATAGATATCTCACTCAACATCCCTCTTGACTAAGTTTCGTACTACCGTTCTCGCGCGGGGCCCGCGAGTCTTCTCAATAACTGGCACCGGTCCTCCCAAGGCCCGAACGCTCACGCTGTCGCAACGCTATACCACTCAGGTCACTGGACTCCATCTGAATCGGGAAGTATCTGCTGCACTATGCCTTACTGGTGGTCTGGTCTTGCTGTGTCTATCGCTGGCTTTTGTCCTCCTGCGGTGGTATCACTTGCAACTTCGTCTCACTGAGATGCTCCCGCCTTCTCTGGCCGATGCTTCGTATGACGGCGACGAGGTTGATGGTTCCGACTGTACAACGGTCAACCTGGAGCAAGCCATCCCTCAGCATCAGGCTGATGCGCTCAACTCGGAGCCCGGATCCTCTACGTTCATAGTCAAGAAAGAAGAACACGACGATGCTGTAGACCTCGCGCAGCTTCAATTCGCATCTAAGTCCCAAAGCTCGGACTGGGACTACGATCTGCTCCCTCCCTCGGATGTATGGGACCACGCCCTCTTCGACGACGAGAGCGCGGACGACGAGCAGATTGTGTTCCAGCTTCTGTCGAGGCGGATGAGGCCGTCGCGGCGCAAGGGCGAGTCATGGACGGGCAAGGGCAAAGTGAGTCGACCGCGTTCTGCGCTCGAAGGCATGGGGCTCCATGAGGCTCACATTTTCCCGCGTTCTCAGCGATACAGGGACGTAAAGACCAATGTGAGCCGCGACGAGGCGCTGTGGCAGCCCGGCCGCGTGGAAAGCATGGGCGCGGCCCGCCAACTTCACCGTGCCTTCAATGCGGCGTTGCCATCCGGTCGTGTTCCAGGTTCTCGTCGGTGACACCTGTACCCCTCCCACGCACGCCTCCGTTCTCTGGACTTTGTCACCTTCTATTTGTAATGTATCGCACCACTGTACATCCTACACTACGCTCACTCTATCGTCTACTACCTACCCAACTTAGCTAACTGGCGCGAAACCGGTACACTCATGTCGCTTTCACAATCTACTGTTCATTCGGTCTCCTCTCAAGCAATTCTAGAGCTGTACAACCCAGTCGCGGCCTTGAGTATGCAGCTGAGCCACGAGGGAAAGCAGAACCGAGGTCTCATCGATAAAACGCATGTGATTGGCTGAGCCCATCGGGCAGGGAGTGCTGCGGCATTGGCACGCGACGATGCCGCAGCCAGGGAGAGATTCCCCAACTGCCAGTTTATCGTGAGAGGCATGCAAGAGAGGCAGAGCACCCCATGTTCCAGAACAATCGATCGACAATGCGTGATTCCGATAGCAGATGTACAAATAGACAGCGGAGACATCGTGGTGGTAGCAGGGGACGCGGGGTAACAGACGACATAGCGTACGCGAGCTGGGACGACGAGGGATATACAGCGATGATGGAGACAAGGAGAGCGATGAGGAGCGCGGTACAACTATACAATGGTGGCAGGAGAGCGCGATAACACTACAAATATGTACGAGTAGCAGAATGACAAATAATGTAAGGAGGTGGAGTCGTGAAGGTCGTAGCGCCCGGCGTCGGGCGAGTCGTTGTCGTCAACCACCCTGCGAGCAGCGACGCGTCAATCGCGTGCGAAACGCTCGAGAAGGGCGCGGAGACTTACAGCAGTCGCGGAGGACGCGTCAGAACGAGCCGAACACGAGCTCGTCGTTTCCCGCGATGCGCGTACGCAGGAGGGGGCCGTCGGGCCCTCGGAAGGGCCAGTCCGGCGTCGTCTCCGGCTGTGGATACTCTGCTTCGTGCAACTGGCGATTGATGTGCCGAGTAAGGTATCCGTTATGGGGACCCAGTGTTAACGGGGAGATCGTTGGCCTGGGGAGCGAGGTAGGGTCGGTGGGGAGCAGGGGAACGTTTTCCCGTCCTGGTGCACGAGGTGGGGCCGCCGCCTGGGGGTTAGCGGGGGCCGCATTCATGTTGAGAGGGTTCTGCTGCTGCTGAGCCATAGCGGACTGCAGGGAGGTATAGAGTTGAAGGGTGTGGAGGGTATAGAGAGAGAGAGGGGGGTGCCGCGTGCGGATGGTGGTGGTAAGGAAAGTGGGGGTGAGAGAGAGAAATGCGGATGGGCGGGCGGTTTTGATGTTGGCGCCTAACGGCACCTCCCCCCCGGACCGTGCTCCTCGCGGAGTTGCCTACTTGGGGACATTCGCGGTGTACCCCAGACACCAATGCCTGTCCTCGGTGCTCGTGCTCGACGCGCGCTGCGGGATACGTCGCGGGGGCACCTGTGGGCGGGCAAGTGAGCGGCATGATCATTACAGGCGGCGGGCGGCATCATCGCGACATACCCTGGCATACACTACGCGGATTTGCGGTTACGCGGAGCCGGCTGAGGGCGAGAGGGCAGAGGACCAGATGGCTAAGCTTCTGGTGAGAGGCGGGGAGGTTCCAACGTCGGGATGGCCGACATGTCGCGCCTTGTTCCGACCGCGTCGATCCTGCAGCCACCCAGGTGGAGCTTGTCCTACGGGCTTGACGGTTCGACCTTCGAACGGTGAAGGCGATTAAGCTTCTGCACATGCAGCTAGGTCTACCATACACTCACCCACCCAGTACCCTGCACGTGTGGCTTCGGGATGAGTGGCGTGGTGCATCGCTTGTCGGGCGACGAGGGCGCTGGGATATGCGCTTGTTTGCCACCGGCTTGTCACTATACCTGGACGCTAGCGAGTAGCTTAGGAAGGTTGTGTGTACCACCTGAGTGACAAACGTCAGCGATGGCTCACTTTCGGTCGATCGAGGATGAGGGTAGTAGAACATATGTATAGTGCGGGCCACTATCTAAGTAAACGAAGGTACGGCCCTCTAGCACGACGACTACAGTATGAGCGGTATAAGCTAGCAAGCGGCGCATGGAGCGGACAAGACGTCCTCGTGATTGGACGTCCACGCAGATGTTTTCGGGACACCTGAGCAAAAGCGTTCCGCTCGTGAGTCAAGCGTAACAGGGAAGATAACGAACAGGGTGCGAGTCGAGTATGATAAACCGGGAAGAGAAGTACGCAGATGTTGAGAATGAAAGCAAGAGACAAGGGACGTACCGGACTCAGTGCAGCACGTTGGCCGTGGCGCGGGGACTGGACGTCGGACGCTCCGTATCGCCGCTGTGGTAAGCCGCTTGGACGCAGCTGCGGATACGGGTTTATTTGACAGCGCTTGGGAGCGAAGGCTGACGTCCTTCTTTCTTCTGAGCTATGTTATGTAGAGGCTGTTTGAGTTTGATAGGGCAGGGGCCGAACGCCTGGCCCTCCCTCGCGCAGCAATGGTCCTGGCGACATGAAATATGTCAGCGCTTGTGAGCAACCAGCCAGGGGTAGACGTCTTGCTGTGGACTGACCACAACTTTAACGAGCAGCTCGTAACGCTAATTGAGCGTACCTCGCCACGGCCGTCTGGAGCAGTCGAAGAACGGCCTACCCAGCGTTACAGGCATCCTTGCCCTTTGCACGATATTACCACACCACGCACCCGCACAACTTGCTGCAGCACGGGGTTCTTATCATTGTAATGCTCATTTCTTCCATAGCTTGTGTCTGGACTGTGGGGCTCTGCTGCCATGGCTGCGGTGCTTGGACATTGGGCGCTTGACATGCGGCATGGGATAAGCGCCCATATGCTTGTTGGGCGGCTGATGCGTGACTTCCACAAAGACTTGACCACAACGAACGCTTTGACCTCACTCGGTCCCATGGCACAAAGCGTGCTGAAAGAAATGGTATATGAGTGCGAGCAGAGGGAGAGAGAGAGCAACACACCTCCTCTCGACGTTTCCCATCAGTAGCGCACCGTTAGCACTCAGTGAGTCCCTTCGCCTCTCTCTCGGTGAGTATGACGCGCCCCGTTTTTGATCTTCGCTGACCGGATCTTGTAGAAAAAACATGCATCCTTACAACACCAGACAAAACAAGAACTACGTGGCCCCAAAGCAGGAACCGGATGAGCAGCGCATCACCGTTTCCGGTCGCAGGAACTCGAGGCGCCCTGTCCGCTTGCACTGCTCGCAGGATGCGGTTTCGGAGGACAACGACAGCGAGGCCTCCCCTTCCGAATACTCTGGGGAGTCCAGTACCTCTGGCGACACTACCTCTGGCGACACTGAAATCATCGACAACGACGGGGACAGCGTGATGCGGGACAATGCTCGCTTTGTGACCCCACAGCGGGATATCCCCTACCGCCCGGGGTCGGTCGTGGAGACCCCCAAGAAGGGTCGTATCATCCGACAGGAGCCACGCGTCGGAGGCGGGTTCAATTTTTGGCACAAGCGAGACGGAGCTGTGCTCCGCCTGTCCTTCGGCCAGAACGGACTGCCTGTGGCCGCCGTGGCTGAGGGTGGAAATCAGCAACCCCCACCAAACGAC